CCACTCCAAGCAAGGTGATAAAGCCACTAAGGCACAACACAGTGTGAAAGAATCAGAGAAAAATCATTATTAAGGAGAGTGGAAAATAAAAACTGGATTTAAGGAGACAGAAGATGATTGACATTGCATTTAAAGTTTTGAAGATCAAAGTTTTATATTCAGTCCATTATGAACTGTTGAAATAAAAAGAAAAAAAAAGATTCTGTTGTAAAAATGTTGTGTAAACTCTTCATAACTATCACTTGTTTAAAAGAACTTTAATTAAGGAAAGCATCTACACAGAAAATTTAGCTGATCTCAGCTTTTATCAGAATATTACTACAAATATTTTTTTTTTTAAATGAGAAAAAAAAATTATTAAGGAAATGGAAGATAAGGATTGACATGCATTTAAATTTTTTTAAATCAAAGTTGTCTGGAAAGCAAGAAGTCTGGAAATGAGTTCCACAGATGAGAAGTGTGAGAGAAGAAAATGTTAGCATAGAACTTAGTTACATCTATCATTTTTCAACTGTAAAATAACAAAACCTCAGTATTAGATTGGTAGCTTGGTTAAGTTCATAAAGTCGAGGTACAAAAGAGGAAAGCTCTTCAGAAGCTCATGGCTATATCATGTTAACACACTGCTTCTTGTATGATCACCAACAGTTAAGCAACATCAACCCTGGTCAGTAGTTAGATGGGTGACCACTTGTGAATACCAGGTGTTGTAAGCTTGGATATACAGATGTGGTAATGGATAATGTCTCAAATTTGGAAATCAGTGCCAAATTCCAATTCCAGTTGGGTTTGTTATATTCACTTATGTGGAAGTACTTTTTGGGAAAGGTATGAATCCACCTCTTCCCCAACTATAGGTTATTTAGTATGACTTTATCAGCAAAGTCCTTATCTTCAAAAAATCCTTTCTATCTAAAAATGATTTCTGGTTTTAAATAACCTTCTAAAGGTTGATAAGTCGTAAAAACAAATCAATGAATCAAAAGCATATCGGAATAATTACCATGAAAATATTTATAAGATAGGCACAGGGAATGATAGTGGGAAAGTAAATGAAGCTGAGATGCCAGGTTAGGACTGATAATATTGCAGATTCATGGGGGCCATTATTGTGCATTTTTACTGATTCATTTCTATCTTTGTTTTTTTATTCCTTTACTGATTTCTATTTCTCTTCCTATACAAGATGTTCATTCAAATAATAGGACTATTGAGAAAAACTTCATTAATAAGATCGCTAATAATAAACACATTAAAAATAAATTAATAGACATTATTGTTGAATTTTGTTGGCAGTTGCTGCAAAACTAAGAACCATTTGGGCAAACACGAACAGCTGCTTGAAATCAAAGACCAGACCACTGCATTTATTGACCTTCCCAATCTTCTGAATGCCAGCAAATCTTGGGCATTATCAGCAGAATTACAGTGAAGAATCTAATCATTAGAAATGAGATTCTACTGAATCATCCTTAGCATCTCCTATATAGACCACATCACAAATAATGCAGTGCAAGACACCCATAAACAGATCTTGTATCTGCCATAAAGAGGAAGTTGAAATGCTATGGACATGTCATAAGAGTCAACAATTTTTTAACACTTCTATCTTACAAGGTACCGTTTTAAGCAAAAAAAGAGGCAGCCAGAGGGGAAAAAAAAAGAGTTGTCTCCATCACTGAGTTCACTGGAAGATCATTCACATTGGCATTCACCTGGGACATATGGAGGGAGCTGGTCAGGTATTCAGCTGCACATAATCCTATCACTATACTGGTTCATGAAACTGATGATCCTCTTCCAACCTAACTTTGACAAAGAATGAACTCTAGTTAAAGAATTTGCAAGACAGACATGTTGACCATCATTTCATTGTGTCGTATGAATTATAAGGAAACACATGAACCATTTCAAGTGCGTGTTTCTCTCTCTGCAAATTTTCTCTCCAGTACTTGCTTAAGGCAAATCATTTTTCATTTTCCATTTTGCCTGGGGCCTTTTTTTGCTTTCCTAATCTATAACCATTTCTTCAATAGTTTGCTTGATGGACGACAGCTTCAACCAGTTTTGAGCTTTCCATTCTTTCTCTTTGGCTTGCATTGAGTAGGAATATGGCATTCAATTAATGAAAAAAATTGTGTTGTGAAAAGCTTTCCTATTTCATATTCAGCTTTGCCTCTAAATTGGTACCACTTTTCTGACTGAATTCTTACTCAAAGAATTTTCTGAAAATTAAATATTCCAAGATTTGGATTCTTTCCTTGCTTTTTTGGTTTTTGTTATTTTATTTCTTTTATTCTTATTTATTTATTTTATTGTGTTTTTCTTTGTTTTTTTTTATTTTCATTGTTTCTTTCTCCTTTTTCTCGCTTGTCTCTCTCCCTTTCCTTGCTTGTCTCTCTCTTACCTCTCCTCTTTCTCTCTAATCTCTCCTGTCTCTCTCTCACTTTCCTTACTTGTCTCTCTCTTGCTTTCCTCGCTTCTTTCTCTGTTTTTTTTTTATTGCTTATTTTTATTTTTATGAAATCTCTTCACTGATTCTCACTTGCCAATTGTCTTTCCATTCCTGTCTTTTCTCATTTTTGCCATTTTTTTTTCTCAGATTTTTTTGTTCCTTTTGCTGTTTCATATATTCTTATGATTCTTATCCACCATTATTTTATTTTTATTCCTTGTTTCTCATTTTTAAGATTTTCTGTCTTTTTTTTTTATTGTTTAATTCCTTTCTCCTGCCAGGCTTTTGTTTTCATTGTCAGTTGTTCATTTTTGCCATTTAATCTTTTTTTACTTTTGAATTCACTTGCATATTTTGTATCCTTTCCTTTTATGAAAACTTTCAACTTTTTGTGAAAATTTCTTTTTTTCCAATTTTCTTTATATCCCAGTCCAATGCTCTTACTCATAAGCCTCCAGTTAGTGACATTTAAGATCATTTTTACACATTAATATTTTTTCATTTTTTTTTTTTTTTTTTTTTTTTCAACATTACAAAAATAATCGTCAAATTATGCTTAAGTATCCATATTTTTTTTTTTTTTTTTAGTTAGTAGTATGGTTGAAAAAAAACAAAAAAACAACATAAACAATTACAAAACTTTAAATATTTGGTAAGTGTTTTAATAGAGGATGGAAAATGCGACACCAAAATCTGGTGGTGTATTGGAATAGCAAAAGATGCCTTACAAAAATTAGGCGAAGTATTAAGAAACAGGAAAATTTCATTAGAAAGAAAAGAAAAAAACAAAAAAAAAACAAACTGGAGACCCTACCAGGATTTATTATTGGTGGGTGTAGTCAATAATATAAGATCTATAAAAGACACTTTGTTGGTGGTAGACAGAAAGAAAATTGCAGGACTTCCAATACAAAATAGGTAAAGAAAAGCAAGAAGATAGAATGTGTGATTGTCAGCAAGAGAAAAAGTCGAAGATGTGTACTATGAATTGGATATGTTAAAATCAAATGGTTCAAAACTTTAAATATTTGGTAAGTGTTTTAACAGAAGATGAAAAATGTGCCACCAAAGTCTGAATATGCATTGGAATAGCAAAAGATGCCTTCCAAAAGTTAAGCAAAGTATTAAGAAACAGGAAAATGTCATTATATATAAAGAAAAGAGTCCTGAACTGCTATGTAATATCACTCCTCCTAAATGTCAGTAAATGCTGGACAATCACCTCACAAATTAAAAAGAAGATTGGAGGCAACAGAAATGTGATTCTGTAGCGGAATACTGAGAATATCATGGATGGAGTGTGTAAGAAACAAGAACTTCTTAAGGAAAATGGAAAGATGTTTTTGCTGAGGATCATAATGAGGAGAGCTTGGAAAATTTGACACTCACAATATATAGTGTAATCAAAAGAGACAGAGGTTGGCAGAAGGCTACCTATTTGATGAGCTTATTGAATGGCAGAACAGGGAATGGAAATGATGTTAAAAAGAGAAACCTTACTAAGAGCTGCAAGGGATAGAAGTTGTGGAGAGCCATGATCACCTATATCCTAAAGAGACATGGCATATAGAAGAAGAATAATTGCATTTGTTCATTAAAATGATTTCTCTTGTTAAGTTTCCTTCCTTTTAATATTGTGTCTCTACTATATAGTGAAAATTCATTAAATTATAGACTGCTTATCACTATTTACATTTCTGACTCAAAATCAAATGGTACAAAACTTGAAATATTTGGTAAGTGTTTTAACAGAGGATGGAAAATGGGACACCAAAGTTTGAATGTGCATTTTGATAGCAAAACATACCTTCTGAAAGTTAAGCAAAGTATTAAGAAACAGGAAAATTTCATTAGAAAGAAAGAAAAGAAGACTACTGATTTGTTATGTAATTTCAGTTGTCCTATATGTCAGTGAATGCTGGACACTCTCTTCACAAATGAAGAAGACTTTAGGCAACAGAAATGTTATTTTACAGAAGGATGCTAAGAATAACATGGACTGAACAATCGAACAATGGTGAAGTTTTTGAGAAACTGAAAATTTAGAATCAGAAAGAGACAGCTGAAATTTCTAGGACACATAATGAGAAAAGAAGGCTTATAAAATTTGATACTCACAGGACAGAAGAAGGCAGTGTATAACCTACCTAATGGGCTTGTGCAAATGGTTGGCAGAACAAGAATTAGGAGAGATAGTAAAAAGATAAAATTTACTAAGAGCTACAAAGGACAGGAAATTGTGCACAGCTATGATTGCCCATACGTTGAAGGGATATGGCACATAGAAGTTGTATAATTTTTTTGGATTGATTTTGTTTAAAAAAACAAAATAAAACATTCTAGCATGTTTGGGCACTTGATGTGGTGTAATGGTTGGCATGCTTGTCTTGCTAGATCAATTATGACTGAATAGTGTGTTCGATCCTCACTGTGTGCCCCATACTTTCGGTCTTGTGCAACATTTAAGCTACGCTTAGAAAAATCACCATTCTAGCAATTTGGATATAATGTACAGTTTACAAGAAAAGCTTCCTCTATTTTTCAGGTTCATCGATGGGTAAACGTAGACTCTATGTTAGAGAAATGCTATGTTGGACGATTAAAATCAGAACAGATTGTATCCAGAAAAGGTAGGAAATGGTTCATTTTTTTTTGTGCATGTTGTACATTTTAATTTTTTTTTTTAAATTTTGATTTATATTCACTCCCTTATTTCTTATTTCTTTTATTTTTTTTTAAGCGTTTCACCCCAAGCAAGGTGGGAAGCTACTAGCATGCAAGGGGTTACAGAGGATTTGGAGTGGGAGCAAATAGGAGTGATAGAGGAAAGGATGAAGAGAAGGATAGGGGATGGAGATGTCGATTGACATTACATTTGAATAGTTGGAGATTACAGCTATCGGGGGAAACAAGAAATGGGGAGGGAGTTCCACAGGTGAGAAGTGCGAGAAATGAAGCTATTGCAGTAGAAGAGATGGCTACATTTAACAGTGTTTGAGTTGATATTTTCTTCATCATTTCATCCCAAGTAAGGCAATAAAATGACTAAGATGCTAAGGTTTACTGATTGTAAGAGAATATGAGAGGGGAAAAAGCACTATTAAGGAAAGAGAACAATAAAACAACAGGAATTAATAAGACTGAAGATAATGACTTAAATTTTTGAAGATCAAAAGACTGCAAAGCAAGAAACCAGAAGAGTTTCACAAGTGAGAATTGTGATAGAAGAAACTGTGAACAAAGAAGTTATGGTTACATCGAGACATTTCAATTGCAAAATGAGACCTAGCTGCCAATCTAGTACTGCGCTTATATCCTTAAAGTCTAGGTACCATAGAGGAAAGTAATATTTATTTTGAAAAAATAAATATTAATGCGTCACAAGGCCAAGAGAGAGGATAGGGGAAAGGTTGATTTTCAAATCTTTCTTATCTTAAACTTAGCTAACTACAATTACTAACCCAAATATACCACAGTATTCCTTGCACCAAAACAACCCATTCTTACTTAGCATTCTTATTATAGCCACCATAATACCTCAAAATCTCTATGACATCCTATACTTGTTTCCACATGTACAATTTAGGTGGGCGGATAAAAATAACATCATTTATAAATATTTACAATGTTATATATAAGAAACTAAACAAAATGGTACCATAGAGGAAAGTTTATCAGAACAAATACTGTGAAAGTATTTATAGAAAGGGCAAAGGGGAGCTACATTATGGCAATGGGAAAGTGACTGGAGCTGAGATGCCAGGTCAGGAGCAATAACATTTCAGATTCTTTGGATTTTAACAAGATTCTCTAAATATATAGCAGCAATATTCAAGGTATGTGCAACTGGTAGACTTATAAATGATATCACTGTTTTTATATTCTTAAACAGTGAAACTAATATCAGCTAACATAGAACTTCTCCATCTAGGCCAGTTGATATTAATTTTGCAGAGATGTAAACTCAAGCACATGTACTCACTAAAAATAACCTTTATATTAATAAGTTAATGGCTGTCACTGAAGCTACAGTACTGATGAGTATGAAAAATGTGTCATCTAGGAAACTTTAATTAATGATAAGAGAAAGTGAATGAGAGGTAACACCTGAGAATTAAAATGAAGTGTTGTTAAAATGAAAATGATGATTTATTTATGCTTTTACACCAGCTTATATACAAAATGGATTAGAAAGTTTGTCTTGGGATTATATCACACATGTAGGAATTGATATTGTATCAAAGTTGAGTGATTGATCACATGAGATAAATATGCATGTGTATGTTTTTATTGCATCATAGAATCTTTTGATATATTCTATATCAACGTTTTTAGGGGTTTATCTAAGGCTATATATATATATATATATATATATATATATATATATATATATATTTTAAGACATTTTTATGTTTGACATTCTTTTTATAGATACAAATATTTAAGTAAATGCTCTTTTTATAATAAACAGTATTAAACAACATTTACCGGCCTGAATGTCCGAGAAATTTTCACAGAAAATATTCGTCCTCCAACAGGATTCGTATCCTATACGGAACCGTCATTTAGCTTGACGTGCCTTTACCGATTTGGCCACGAATCTGAAAGTTAAATTTTTTTTTTAAATTTTGACATTCAGATGAACATAGCAAATTTTGTCTTTGAAAATTGTTGAACACTACAATATTTGTCTTGAAATAAAGAACACCCTGATAACATTGTGCTAATGTCAAAAGTACTTTGAATAAAATATGTATCAACAAGTTAATTTTCTCTCATCCTGGAATAATGACACTGATGAAAGGATCCAATTGAAAATAAAACTTGTCTAAATTATTCAATGAAACATTTTCCTCACACACATATATATATATATATATATATATATATATATATATATACAGCTGTAGCAACAGAATTATTCTCAGTGTTATTTTTATTTATTTTTTATTGTTTTGTAGATTTGCTTTCTGTTAAAAATCAAACATATTGCATAAACATTTTAAATAACATTATGGAGAGAATAACAAATTTTAATATTGCAATAAAAACAGTCATGGAAAAGTTATATAATCTGGGAATTTTTTCATGGGGAAGCAATCCCAGTGTGTGATACTTTTGGAAAATCCTTGAAAACCAGATCACAGGTTGACCCAAGCTTTGTGAGTGAAATAGGGTAAATGGAATTGTCCGTTGCTGGTTGTGATAGCACCAAGTCATGAGTCATTGTGACCGAGGGTTTGAGCATACTGGCCTTGTTCAAACTATTGATCACGCCAGACGATGTGTGCTTTCTCTCCTTGAATCTGTAACTAAGGTGAGCTCTGTGGGTGTGAAACAAACACAAATGTGCCTGAGCAGGCGTCTGCAATGGGGATTGTCTAGAAGCCATAACAGACCAGCATATTCTGATATGAGCTGCTAGCCATTAGAGTTTTAAAGAGTAAGCAATGACAACTTACCTTTTTTTTTTTCTTTTTCATGTTTGACTTTTTATGGTTATTATTTGTTTAATATTTTCATTTCTCGTTTTCCTTGTGTTTCTTTCCCTTATTGCATTTAATATGCCTGCTTTTATAGCTTCATTAGAATTTTTTACCCCAAGAAATATATTTAAAGCCGAAGTGAACATACTAAATCAGTTCAATTTTATTAAAATGTTTATTATTATTATTATTCTTGAATTTTTTTATTTTGTAATTTCAGAAAGTAATTCTTCTCAGAAAAGTAATACTTCAATCAGTTTATCTTTAAAAGCCAAAAGTTCTGTCAATGGTAAGTAAAAAAAAAAAAAAAAAAAAAACATGAGAGGTTAATCCCTTGTCTTAGTTCTTCATTAACTTTTACATTCCAGAGTTTTAACTTCAAACAGCAAAAATAGCAAAATTTCTTTCACTACAGTTTGGTAAAATTGGGAGGAAATAATACCTAAATGGTTCTTATTGATGTGGGAAAGGCACCTTGGTATGCTGTAATGGTTAACAAGCTAGTCTGGTTGACCATTACTACAGAATGGAGAGTTTGATCCTCACTAGGTGCCACATACAAAATTAAACATTAAATAACCCAAGAAGGGTTAACATGTCATAAAATCAACCAACAAGTTGGGTGGAATAATGGTTAGCAAGGCTAGTCTGGTTGACCATTACTACTGAGTTCAGAATTTGATCCTCACTGGGTGCCACATACAAAATCTGAAATTAAATAATCCAGAAAGAGTTGACATGTAAAATCAGCCATCTAACTGCATGTGTGCAGGTGATGTAACAGTTATCTATGTGGAAAATGAAATTAGCAGCTAGAGTTCAAATTCCAGCTGAGGCTATTAACTTTGCACTCTCTAACCTTGGTGAGGCCACCTGTTCAGGAAAAGGGCAACTCCCAACAATCCACAATTTACTGATGTGAAAGAGGAGGAAATTGTGTAAAGATATGGCTGTCCATATGCAGAAGAGACATAGTTTAAAAAGAAATTTTAAGAAGCTGAAAACAAATTTTAAGAACATTTTCAGTAAGACATTTATTTTCTGAAGTTCTGGTCATCATGCTAAGTCAACATTCCGACTTTGATCTTAGCCATAGAGCACTGACCATGAGAGAAACATTTGATTAATTTTTTAATGATTTTTTTAATAAAAATGAATTCAGCAAAATTATTATCTTTTTAATTGATACAATTTTAAAAAAAATTTTGACTTATGACTTTATTTATTTATGACTTTTATTTATTTATTTATTTATTTATTTATTTATTTATTTATGACTTTATTTATTTATGACTTTATTTATTTATGACTTTATTTATTTATGACTTTATTTATTTATGACTTTATTTATTTATGACTTTATTTATTTATGACTTTATTTATTTATGACTTTATTTATTTATTTTTATTTATTTATGACTTTATTTATTTATGACTTTATTTATTTATGACTTTATTTATTTATCACTTTATTTATTTATCACTTTATTTATTTATCACTTTATTTATTTATCACTTTATTTATTTATTTGACTTTCTATAGATAAATCTGTAAAAAATATTTCTGCACCATTCAATTAATTTGTAGTAATGGAAATATCAGACCACAACAATGCTTACTATGAACACTTTAGAAAATAAGATCATAACTAATAATAGGTCTAAAATTATAGAATTCTATAAACATTTGAACTGCATGTCCACTTTTTAAAAAAAAAAATTTTAGCAAACAATGTTACATTTCTTTTATGTTTTATTTAAGTATAAACACACTGGTATTTTTTATGCTAACTTATAACTAACTTTAAACAAGGCAAATATAAATTCTTTTTATAAAAACACATTAAAACAAGCTTTACTGATGTTGCTTTTATAGCAATTTTTAAAATTTGAATTAAAAACAACACTAATGAAATATTTATTAAAATATTCTTTTAAATATTATGCACACTAATACATTAATTTTTATCATCGTGTTTCAACCATATAGACTCATCTTCCTTAATTTGCAACCTCCCAGAAATTTTGACATTCACTTATATTCAAATTTTTAAATAAAACAATTTCTTTTCAAATTTATTTCTTTTCAAATTTATTTCTTTATAAAAAGGTGAATAAATATCACATCAAACTTGATTGGCATATTGCTTTAAAAATAGGTTTTAATACCAGAAATACTTTGTAAAAAAATTATTAGCAGCAATACATTTTTGAAAAAAAAATATTACCAGCAATACTTTTTTGAAAAAAATTATTACCAGTAATACATTTTTGAAGGAAAAAATATTACCAGAACTAGATTTTTGACAAAACAAAATATTACTAGCAATAAAAATTTTGTCAGCATTAAATAATCCATTGGTGTTGATATGCCACAAAACAAAACAAAACAAACCAAACCAAACCAAACATAAATGAGTTGCCAACTGAGTCTGAAAAGCCCAATATGCACTACTATTTAACCCATAGCTGGGGGAGAGTAATGAATTTATATCTTTCCTAAGGGTATTTGTGCTAAAGGGAATGTCGGCTGTCAATCTAAGTATATCCAGCCTATGATTTGAACGCATAATTACTATATCACCAATAGTGATTTAATCAATTTTATAGCTGATGACTTTTCATGTTTTAGATTTATCATCTTCCATGCCAAGGTAAGGAGAATTATGGGATTGTTGAAGATATATATATTCAGTCCAGTCAAATCATTTTTTGTGAGCTGCACCCCATTTACCTTCTGAGTGAAATATCTTGGTTTTGTGTTTAGTTGTTTTAAATCAATTTGTTTCCTTTTGTAACCATGTCAGTTCCTTTGAAAGCTTTCCAAACTGGTTTGCCAGAATGATATAACTGCCTGATCTTTCTTTCCACATGGTTGGGTCATTGGTGACTAAACCAGTTTTCCAACCAGGCTGTTCTAGTTAGATACTCAGCAGGATAAAAAGCAAGAGCTGTCAAAAGGTGAAAGAAACATCTTTGGTTACCTTGCACAGTAGGTTAGACTGAGCTTCATAGATACTTTTGCTGCCAGTGCCGTGATGACATGACATCACTAGGCTTCCTAGTCGGTGGCTAGTGAGGAGAGTTTCCATGATGGAATCAATGACCTCATGTCCATGACGTTGACTATAGTTTGACCTGGAGGGGGGATGAGCTTTGCAGAGCTCACTTGCCCATGACATGATGCACATGAATGAATACCACTTAAGTTTTCAACCCAGGCATGTGAAGAGAATTGATCAGGTGCTTAGTGACAAAGTGACTCTATGACCACACCTAGGACTGATGATGATTTTTCTTTTAATTATTAACTAAATTATTTTTCTATCTTTAAAAAATTTTTTTCTTGGTTTTCCTCAGTACCCAAGGAAACAGATTCCAACATAATTCCAAGGTAAGTCATTTCCTCTTAATTTCTTTTTTATAAATGTTAATCATTTTTTGTATTATTCAATCAATACAAGGCCCAAGATCCACTGAAGGTAGAGATCCCTAAAAGAGGTTGTTGTAAGAGCTTAAAAGGAGGGATTTATGAAGATATGTAGGATAGATAATGGTTGACACTAGACTTGAAGATGCTAAGATTGTAGTGACTGGGGAAGTATCCTCTTGGTGGTCTGTTCCACAATGCAACAGTTCTGGGGAAAGATGCTGTTTGAGTGGAACTTTCACCTTTTCAATGGATCCTGCTCAGCATTTTTGGTCTGATCTGATTCTTGTAAAGATAATGCAAAGGCAGAAAGAATCAAATACTTTCTGAAGTAATATTTTTCTATCATCTTTTAGCAATGTATCGATGAGTTCCATTTGGGGTCTGGAATGAGTATTTTCCAAGATTAGTTATAGATTCACATTTATCAGGAAATGTATCCTTGTACACACTAGAAAAGATCTGTGGCAAAGTTTCTAAACTAGATTTATAGGTCTTTGAAAAAAAAAAAGCTTCCCATATTTTTTTTTACATTCAAATTATATTTTACAAACTAAAACTTGAATAATATGTGACAAAAATGAAAAAAAAAAAAATTACCAATCAAAATTTAAGGACGTTTATATTGTGGGATCAGTTAAACTAATTCTACCAAATACTTTTAAATTAAAATATATATATATAATTTTTATTTATTTTTTAAAATCTTTTTCCCACCTTAACATCTGTCTATATTTCTGGGATGAGGTATTGTAACTATTACATTTGGACTGTTGTCCTCATCTTTACTGTCACATTAATGACGTTTCAGCTATTGTACGATGTGATATTTGTTGGAATTTTGAACTGAACCATTTATTTAGTCCATTGAGAGTGTACAGCAGTCAAAATGTTGTTAATGTGGCAGTAAGGATGAGGACAACAATCCAAACATTGTAAATAGTATAAATATTTTTCCACTTTGTCATAGCATTTTTGATACTTAAAAAAATTTGCATATCATTATTCCACACACACACACATATATATATATATATATATATATATATATATATATATATATATATATATAAAAAAAATACAAATGAAAACTACAGACAAAAGTTCATTTTCTCCATCAAGACATTCATTTCTGTAGTTCACTACCAGCAAGCAGAAATTTTTTTTTTTCCTGATGATGGCCCTGTTGGCTGAAACTAGTCGAAGAATCTAAATGAAATAATAATAAAAAAAACGAAAGAATATTAATATACAACCAGTGTGTCTGAAGATTTTAATTTTTTAATGTTTTTTATTGTTCAAAATATATATAATGTAGTCATCCATATACAATCCTGTTTTGCTGTATCAGAACTCATCAGTGTGGTTAGACATCCAATTGCTTTAAGCTGGGATCGAAACCCGACCAATTTGACATCAGTCAGAGATCCTACCCTTAAGCTATCTGTGCATGGCAGAGAAAGTGAAATTTGAATATGTTGTATATGGATGTATACAAATACCAGCAGCCAGAGGACTCAATTCATAAATGAAGAGCAATGTGTTAATAGAAGTGTCGGCTACTGTTTTGAAGTTACCTTTTTCTCTATAGTGCTTGATCGAATAACGATAAAAAGATTGTAGAATATTCACTCATGTAACTATGATTGAAGATAAATGTGTCCTTTCAACAAGTAGAGAAAGGTCAGGTGAAATCTGGAGTGAACTTTCACCCTTTTGTGGCTTTTTATGACCCAGGTCCTACCCCCCCCCTTTTGCTTAATGTTATCATTCTTTTCCTTCTTCTTTTGTTGCAGTAGATGATGATGATGATCCCCTCCCTGTGCCAAACTGATAACAAATAGCTTCTAATATCTTTGTGAATAATTAAGGCATTATCATTCTCTCTCTCTCTCTCACATGCACATGCACACACGCTCACACAGAATGGTGTTTGGCCTGGCAAATCTATACTGATGGAAGATTCTATTTCTGTCTATTGATTATATTTCTTCATCTAAGGCAAATCAATAGAAATCCATTATGAAATAAGCCTAATTATTCAGGATTGCTTGATATAATCAACTAGGAATTAGCTACATACTTATTTGCTCATCTCCACTGATTTCAGTTAACGTTAATTCTTTCTTTTTTACCTTATTATCCTCTTTTTCCCTTTTTCATTTTTCTTCCCTGCCTTTTCTTCTTCCCCCTTTTCCTCTTTTCTTCTTCCCCCTTTCCTCTTTTCTTCTTCCCCCTTTTCCCCTTTTCTTCTTCCCCCTTTTCCCCTTCTTCTTCCCCTTTTCCCCCTTTTCCTTTTCCCCCTTCCCCTTTTCCCTTTTTCCCCCTTTTCCCCTTTTCTTCTTTTCCTCTTTCCCTTTTTCTCTTTCCCCTTTTCTCTTTCCCTTTTCTTCTTTCCTCTTTCCCTTTTCTTCTTCCTCTTTCCCTTTTCTTCTTCCCTCTTTCCCCTTTTCTTCTTCCCTCTTTCCCCTTTTCTTCTTCCCTCTTTCCCCTTTTCTTCTTCCCTCTTTCCCCTTTTCTTCTTCCCTCTTTCCCCTTTTCTTCTTCCCTCTTTCCCCTTTTCTTCTTCCCTCTTTCCCCTTTTCTTCTTCCCTCTTTCCCCTTTTCTTCTTCCCTCTTTCCCCTTTTCTTCTTCCCTCTTTCCCCTTTATCCTTTTTTCTGTTTTTCCTTTCCTTTTTCTCCATTTTTCTTTTTCCATTTCTTTTTTTGTCTTTTTGATTTTCCTTTTCCTTTTCTTCTATTTTTCTATTTCTTCTTTTTTCTGTTCTTACCATTTTTACTTTTACTTCTTTTTCTCATTGTTTCTTTACTCAATTTTACTTTACGCCTGTTTTCTTCTCCCTTTTCTTTTATCACTCGTATTTTTTCTTTTTCTTTTCTTCCTTTTTTCTTTTTCTTTCCTTTTTTCTTTTTCTCCTTTCCTTTTTTTTTCTTTTTCTTTCCTTTTCTTGATATGTCTTGTTCCCTTTTACTCTTATGTTTTTTCTTTTAAAAAAAAAAAATTAAACACTGAATACCCAGTAGAAACCATTTTAATGTTTTTATTTTATTTTTTTTACTAAAATATCATTAAATGTAATTAATATTTCCAGCAGCCTCTTTTTTAAAAATAAGATGCTGAGTACACCATAAAAGACATTTTAAATTTTTATTTTGTATTTTATTTTTATTTTTTTACTAAAATCCTATTAGCATTATTTAACTTATATATTTTTATTGATCTCATTGTTGTAATTATCAGTAAATTATTAAATAAAATTCTCAATGAATTACTACTAAAGCAGCTGTCTAAATATTTTATATTATTATAAAACTAATTTCATTAAATCTTTTGTTTCTTTTTCAGTTATGACTGGACTCAGACCGAATCTTCTGTGATAGTAACAATCAACACCCAATGGGATGATATGAAAACAGAATATTTAGTGATAAATCGTGATGAGAAAGACCTGAATATTATAGCTTTCATCAAAAATAATAATAAATATCAAATCCATATAGGTAAGATTCAGCTTTATGAAGGATATATGCTTCTAACTTTGCTTGTCGGATCTAACATTTTCCTTCTGCCTAGAAGGACACATGTTCAAATCCTACCAGAGAGTGCATATTTTTCTTTAATAAGATTTCTTGAACATTCAGGCTGGTAAAGGAAAATAAATAAACTCAATAAATAAATGGAGTATCTACTCAAATATGAGTATCCACTAAAAATAACGTTTAAGTGATAAAAATCTGTCAGATTGATTAATAAAATTCATTACTTTAGGGAATTGCTTTGTTTATGTTTGGATACAAATTTGAGCAGATATGAAAATTTTGAGGAATTCAATATGAGAAAGGATTTTGCTTAAAGGCACATTTCAGACTTTGCTTGATCAGCAAAACTGCTCTGTGACAGAGTTGGTTAAAGCATGTGCGATCTAACGACGGTTTCCCTCTGGCCAGATACAATTGGCAACAAATGTAAAAAAAAAAACAAAAAAACAGTAATAATTATAAAAATACAATGTCTGAAAAAGATAAAAAGATTGTAAAATTAATTACAGGCTGACTTACGACCAGATTGATTTATGACCAGTCTTAACCAAAAACAACATATATGCACAATCGACCTTGCTACTACTGATCAGCATGTATAAATAGTTGAGCCAATGCAGAACACACGTGGCCTGAAGATTGCATTCAAACATGAAACAGACTGTCGCCACTCGGTGTTGACTGCAGTGTTCACTTTTATATTTATATACACTTTATCCTTTATATTGTGCAGTTTTAGCCATAAATATAGCATACCTTCAAATTATATTTTATCATTTTACATACATATATATATATATATATACATCACACTCATGGATACCTACCGAACCCTATTCGTAACATACTTGTTGACAACACAAATATAATAACATGCAAAAAATGGCTAAAAATAATGGAAGCCTTATTAATAAAAACAAAAAAAACAACACTTAATAATATCCACTATGAACATGGTCACAATATCTTGACCATGTTTTGAAAAATGAAAAAATATAAATACATACATACAACAATTTCTTTTTGACAGTTAATATATTTCAACCTTGAAAATGTCTAAATGTATAGCTGAAAGCTCTCAGATAAAGTTTTTTTATATAATTTATCATCCAAAAAGAAAAAATTATTAGATCACATGAGAAATTGAGAAATGAGAAAAAACTAAATCAAGTCACCTTGTCTGTTGTATTCAATGAAACATCCATGAAAGAAGGATTGTTGCCTAAATATACTAAAAATATATATATATATATATATGTGTGTGTTTATAGGATGTATAATAGTATCCAAAACAAAAGTGAAGATTATGTGACAAAAGGAAAAATTTATAAACAATGTATTTCACTGAGAGTGTGTCTGCTCTTTTTGGTTTCCTCCAGCTAGAATGAAAGAAAGCCAAAACTGTATGTGATAAAAGTGCTGGGATCTCTGAGGATAATGTAGACTATAAAGCAAATAAAATTAGATTGCCTTATCACATTGAATGTCCAGACTTAAGAGAATGCCTGTCTGTCTCTTTGGTTCTTTTTATCGAGAGTTTGCACTTGGTAAGTGCCCCAGACACAAACCCAAGAAATGTTTCAAGGATGTTGTTAATGTCAAAGACTGGGGAAAAAGAGGCAGAGAATCGGTTTGGATAGAGAAAGCTAGTTTTTGATGGTTGCAATTGTTTTGAGGTCAGAAGAGCTGAACAGTTGAAGGGCTCTTGGGAAAGGTGATGTGGACTTGATCTCTAAAGATATTCAGTCTCAGCGGGAAGGTTTGTTCGACATCGTGTCTGATCTACTAGTCATCTAAGAAGATATGAAAATTAAGTAGAAAATTGTCATGTAAATAGTGGTTGGATGACTCCACATTTTGTCATAGGTAAATAAGAAAAGTGTGTTTGTTAGAAATTATGACATGAAATTATTTATATATTATGTGTTTTTAGATTTTATATGCACTTTCTTGCCCTTTCAAATGCATAATTTTCTTGTGTACTTGTAAAATCTAAAATACATTAGATCACTTAAAAGTTTGATATAATAATTTTCCATTTGATTTTATTGATAATTTATTAACTAATGATTTTTCTATTGGTTTTAGTTTTGGAAGAACATGTTACATCAGATTATAAAGGTAAGTATTATTCATGCGTTTTTACTGGGAATTTCCAACCAAAGATCTACAAACCAACATTGAGAATTAAATTGTTTGTTTTTATATGAATATCTGGGATGGGGAATTATCATTATTTAACATTCGGACTATGGTTCTCATCTTTGTTATTGTTAACACAACGTTTCAGCCATAGTGCCCTCTGGCCTTCAGGTATATATCAATCCAGGTAAGCTACAGAACTGAACACTTTATTCTATGGAGGTAGACTCTTTTCATTCCACTGCCCATGTCCAGCGATATCTTGTCTAGTTCTTATTTTTATTAATTGTGAGTTCAATCCCTGGGCTGGGCAATGTGGACTTGGACTTGGTGGAAACAGGGCGAGCAATAAGTGAGTTGAACTAAAAATAAGAACTAGATGGCAGATCCTTAGACATGGGCAATGGAATGAGAACAGTCTACTCCTGTAGATTAAATAAAGGGTTCAGTTTAGGATTTCCCATTGCTAACCCAGATCAATATACACCTGATGAAGGCTGGAGAACACAATGGCTGAAATGTTGTGATAACAACAACAAAAATGAGGACAATAGTCTGAATGTAAACAGTGTGGAATTTGTTTATGGCTGTGATTGTAAGTAAAGTCATCCATTCATCTCTTCTGCCAATCTTGATGCTTGAGTTGATTGGTTGTTTTTGTTTAGTGGTATATCAACACCTCTATAGGTTATTTAATGCCAAAATGTAAATATTTTGTATGCAATTTTTTATTTTTTTTTTTTTTTGCTTGGGGGAGATAATAATGGCTTTAGTGATACAAGTCTTATTAATTAACCCATATTTAGGGTATTTGCATATAATGAACCCAACTGGAATTGGAACTCAGCTCTCCAGTTAACAATTCTGAGCCATTATCTATTGCACCACCTTCACATCCAAGATTACAGCACCTGTTATTCTAAAGTGGTCATCTCTATGTACTGACCAGGCTTGACATTGCTTAACTCTGGTGATCGTATGGAAATTGGTGTTTCAGTTTACAAAAATAAAAAATAACTTTCCAGTTCTTAACTTGTATAATAATGCTAAAGTGAGCAATTGGCTCATTTGAATGCCAGAGTCCATCATTGTCTTTCAGAAGAGATGCAGTGATTCTAGAGTTTCTGCAGCTCTACATATGGAAAAAAAAATACCCAGAGAAAAACTGGCAATGTTTAACCTTCATGCCCACAAAAAAGAATGCGTCAAAAGAACAGTTATTGCCTTGATACCACTATTATTGTATACACTTTTAAATCCCTCAGCAGTGTTTATTTACAAGATTATAAAAAATATGTGAACCAAGTACAATGCAATATTTATTAACTATTAGCAGTAGAGCCAGGTGTTGCCCAGGGATGTAACAGTAAGAGATAGATCAAGTATCGACCATCATAAAGACTGAAAAATAAAATTGACAAAGATTATTGTTTAAGGTTACACGCATGTCTTAATTAGTTTTTTTTTTTTTTTTTTACGAACTGGTCAAACACAAACTCAAACAAAAACATTGTTTTCAATCGTTATGAGTCTACCGATTGAATAGAATTTTATTATAAACAATTTTCTTGTAAATGGAATTTTTAAAGCATTCTGAATGTAAAAATAAAGAAAAAAGTGTGCAAGACAATAAGAAACACTACCTGCCAAAAAAAAAAGTGAAGTTTTGTTGAAATCGGTTGAAAAATGTAGGAAACCTGATCCAATATATAAACGAACACACACACACACACACACACACACACACAAACATGGGTTTTATAATAAGTATAACTTGATAACTCGATATTAATAAGTATAACTCTATATGAGTTGTCCCCCTTTCATTAATGCCTCTTAATTGTGTTTTCTAATTGATTTTGTGCAAAAACAATTGTTTTTCCAATTTTTGGCGCTGTCAGAACCACCGCTGAGTAATTTTACGTAGTCCTGTGAAGTTTTGTTGAAATCGGTTGAAAAATGTAGGAAATCCGATTCAATATATAAACGTACAGACAGACACACACAATCTGCGTTTTATAATAAGTAAGATTTTAGACAGAAATAAATTTGAAAAATCATTTAATTAAAAAATTTACCAAATTATGTAAGCCAACTACAATGCAATATTATTTACAATTTTTTAAATAACTATAAAATTTAAATAAACATGATATAAACATAAATTAAAAGAATGTCTATCAAATATCTAACTGGTCTATTACTACTTCCATGAACAAACTGCATTCTAACCTTCATGGCTAGGACCTGCAATGTCACTTACATTGTAGCACATTACCCATATTCCCTCTGTATTCCATTGGTGAGAAATAAGTTCCACTCAAACAGCTTTTTCCTGCAGAACACTGCTCTGTGGACTTGACTCCCAAAAGGATGTTTCCTTGATCACTACAATCTTAAACTGTTCAAGTCTAGTGTTAACCATTATCATCCTCACCTATCTACATAAGCTGCCTCTTACTGTAACCGAGTGACCCCTGTGACTTGTACTACAAAAACAAAAAAAAACCCTAGTATCTGGCCTAGAGGAAGAGATGCTCTTATTAGTGAATTTATGTGGTGAGAGCAAATGAAAGAAACTCATTTTTTTAAAATGAGTTTGTTGTAGGATTAGGTAGTAATAACACCATACGAAAATATGCACTTTCCTCTTTACTAAGTGAGTGAGTGACAAAGAAAACTCTCCCTCTCTTCTATATATTTCCTTTCCTTCCTTCTATTGTTCCTATTCTCAGTAACAGACATGAATCCAGACTTAGTTTATGTGGGTCAGTGAATGTCATGATAAAAAAATCAACCAATGACAACATGTCCTGCCAAAAATCAAATGGGAAATATGATTGTGTCAGCCCCAATAAAAAGAAGAAAACCACATACGAGACAAGAGATGCTGCAGTGGAGAGGAACTTGAGTCGAGGTAGCAGTTCAAGATGCAAGGGTTGGTGATTCATCGGCTGTGAGTTTGACCTGACGTACAGCTCCAGACGAGAAAGAAGAAGGATGAATGCAATGAATTAATTTCTGTCAACCAGAAGGAACACAACAACCCTGTATCAACAACCTCTTAAATCACAAAAAAAGAACTATGACGATAGTCAACCATTTTAAACACTATTACCAAATGCAGTCAACAATGAATGGTACTATAGACAATAAATTTGGCCTTTACATCATCTCTATATACCATAAGTTAATCACCATGTTTATTTTCTTGTTCAGAAATTTTTATAATTTTATGAGTAAATCCACTTTCATGTGTTTGGATTTCATAAATCCACTTTTGTATGTTTGGGTTTATTAAATTTCTAATCATTGCTTTTCAAAATAACTATTAATGAGGGTGTCAAAAGTGTATAGGGTAATAACAGAATAACTGTGTTTTTGACAAATCATTTTTTTGTGGACATGAAGGTTAGACGTTGCTGAAAACCCTTACAACTGTGATCACCTCCACAACTTAATGCTACCCACATCCAATTTATGAAAAATAACTGAAATGTTTATATATTGATTCATAAATAAGAAGTATGAGTTGTGTCCCTAGTATTATATTAAAGGAAGGGGAATAGAATTCCCATAAGGCACTAGAAAAGCAGTTTTGATGCAAAAATACAATCTTTCTTTATCCCTGACTGCCAACTGTTGGACCAGAAAGATGTGTTTTCTGAAATGAGATCACAAAAAGATGACTCTTCATACAGATAAACCGAAAGCTGTTTCTTTCTTTGCATTAATAGATATAAATCACTATATATATATATATATATATATATATATATATGTGTGAAGTATAAATAAATATAAGTATGTATAATTATTTATATATTATATGCACGGTACTTATTAGAAAGCGCTCAATATCAGAGATAGAGCTAACATATTTGGTTGGATAGATGTGACATCTATCCAGCCAAATATATATATATATATATAGTTATTTTTTTATTATGAGATTATAAAAACATTTTGAAATCGCTGCACAAAAGCTTTTATGTTTCGATACTATGATTGTACTTCTTCAGGTGATGGTATTGAAACATGAAAGCTTTTGTGTAGTGATTTCAAAATGTTTTTGTTATAATCTCTTATAATAAAAATATAATAATAATATGTTGCTCTACTTTGTATTGAGCACTTTTTTAAAAGTAAACTATTTTTACGCCATTTGTTCTTTCTCTCATTTGTGTGTGTGTGTGTATATATATATATATATATATATATATATATATAGTGTGTATTGTGTGAATAATCTGAATCAATTATGTAAGCAAATGTATGTTTTAATCATAAATCAAACATTTAATAAATATGTTATATCTTCTTGTTGCATGCACACCAGAAACTGTTCATGATTAATGCAATATTTTGATGTAATATTGCACACGAATATTAATTTAACATGTTATTTACGGATGATATAATCCCAAATAAAAACAACGAAATCAAAAACAAGGCCTCATATCATTTGCACTCTCACAATAATATCTTAAACCTAAAATAATGTTGAAACTTGATAATTTGCTAAGTGTGACCAGGCTCAGTGGAAATTAATCATCAATGTTCAATTTAAACAGCATGATTATATCAAGGGAGATAACTCCTGTTTTTGTTATTTTACCACCAGGAAAATAGCGAATATTTTTTGTATGTGAATACACGAGAAGAGGGCAAACTTGTCTGAATTCTCTGTAGATTGAACCAAAGCGGAAATTCTCTGCAGTTTGTACCAAACCAACTTAGCAATTATCATAAGAGAAAAAAAGAATCAAGGAACCCATTCAAATTGCTTTTTAAATCCTCCTTTTTTTTTCTTTTTCTTTCCTTCATTTCTTTTCGCGAAATAATTAATAATTAAAATCCATTCATATTTAGAAAACTAAATTATGCAGTTAAGCAACAGCAGATATTTTTAGATTTCAAAACTAGTAGGTGTTTATATTTAAAATCTAACTTCAAACAAAAATTAGGCTTACAACCATATCATGTTGAAACATTGGTTCCTGTATGATTGGTGAAGTTAAGCATTGTCGAGCCTGGTCAGTACCTAGATGGGTGAGCACTGGGGAATACCAGGTACTCTATGGTTCTTTTTTCCTCCCTAGCTATGGGTTAATTAGTGGGATTTGTATCAGTAAATTATTATTATCTCCTAAACATTTCTTACAATGAGTTGGGATTAAATATGGATCAGAATCTGATAGAATGACAAGATAAAGAACAAATAGGAAATGTTTATCAATCTAACATGTTTCACTTTTATTAAAGTTTCATCAGAGAATGAGATGGAGAAAGAAATTGTGGTATTTTTATTTCATGTGCATTTGACTTTTTAAAACAACATAAGTATAATTTGTGGTGTTCTGAATTGAAGGAGAGACATGTCTATCCAAAGTTTCAAGAAACTAATGAATTCGAAGCCTATCTGAAAAATTGTAAATATTGCTTTATGTATGTACGTAAGTGTATAATAATTCTAGTTTGTCTCTGGGGGAAATTGAAATTGGAGATCCGAGTTTGAATTCCAGTCAAATCCATTAAATTCACTAATACCCTTGGGAAAAGTATGAATTCTCTTCTCTCCCCAGCTATGGGTAAATAGCAGGACAGACCGGGTTCTGTAGCCTTGAATGACAACTGGTCTACCGTAAAAAGAAATGGCAACCTACTGTGGGGAAAAAAATCTGCTTCATCATGTATCTTTCGATACATGATCGCCTAAGCATGTATCATGCCTGGCCACATAACTGACTGACTCTAAGAGATTCAGATGTTAGAAGCTGTTAATATTATATATTAGTATATTAGTAATTTTGTTTGTTGATTTTCTACATGTTCAATTTTCATACATACTGTTTGTTTTAGATAGACATATATTAGATTCTTTAAGAATGGATTCAGTAAGGTCGGAGATGTAATATAATGTTTTTGACATGTGTTTATAGCTAGTAATATTGTCATTGAATTTACATGTGAATTTGAAAAAAACAAATCTCTACCTTTTCTTAGATCGTTTTTGTTAGTGCATTTACAATAAATTTTAAAATCTAATTTGTTATTGTTACATATTTCTATTCCCACCACAATCAAAAAATAAAATCATGATTAGTCATAGGATTCTACCCAATAGCCCTTAAGATATGTAGCCCAGAATACCTAAGTGAAGAATATAAATATATTGAGAAAACATTGACGTCTTCATTACCCATGCCATTTCATCTTCAATGCTAGTAAATGAGCTTACAAAATACACAAATCCATGAAACTAGACACCACTAATAGCACTTCTAACAACACAAATTTCATAATCCACGCTCTAACACTCTTTCTACTAAACTTGTAAATAAGTTAGTTATCCCTAATACTAGGATCTTTACCACCACATCCAAGGCAATCAGAGATATAATTAGGAAGAAAAATAAATCCAACACCAATTCAGATGCTGGAACTTAGGAAATAAATTGTTTACAGTGTAAAAGAATTTATAATGGACAGACATCATGAGATCTAAAAGCCCATATCTATGAACATAAAAGAGATTTTATTTTATTTATGCCACCCTAATTAAAAAAGAACACAATTCTTTACAAAGGCAGTACTTTGAGATCTTACTAATAACTTTTGTTACTAAATATAAACACACGTCAAAAACATTGCATGCACTTGAAACATGAGTAATCCATGAATAACTAACAACACTAAAGTAAAAATACTAGAATTTCTTTTTCTTTTTTACCATATCCCATTCTCTGATGAAGCTTTAATAAAAGTGAAACATGTCGGATTGATAAATGCTCTTTATCTTATCAATTCTTAAAGTCAAAAAATGTTTTCTGATTTTGATAACTTGCAAAAAGTTGATAAGCCATAAAAAAACAAATCAATCTTTGATACCAGACTTTACAAATTTAAGCGCAGTACTAGATTGGCAGTTAGTTCTCATCATTTTACAGTTGAAATGGCTAGATGGAACTGTAAATTCTATGTTAACAGCTTCTTGCTTGTGGAAGTCTCTTCTGGCTTCTTGCTTTCCAGTCAACGTTGATCTTCAAAAACTTAAATGGAATGTCAATCATTATCTTCTGTCTTCTTAATTCCCGTTCTTTTATTGTTCTCACTCTTTAATAATGTTTTTCTTTTTCTCATATTCTCTTGCACTCAGTAACCTCTTGCGTCTTTATTGTCTTGCTTGGGGTGAAATGATTAAAAAAAAAAAAATCTAACAAACATTCTTTTGACAGAAATCTTTTTGTAATTCTTGTAACTATTTATGTCAGTTTTGTAATCTTTTGTTTTCTCCAGTAAAGCTAAAAGAGCCAGGAATCCTTGAGATTCAGTTCAAAAAAGAAGATCCTGGTATCAGTTGGACATCTCTTGGAGAGCCTGAAGAACATCACAATACATATTTACAAAAAATAGCTGTTGGTATGTACAAGGAAATGAAATCTGTTTCATGTTCACTTGCTTTTTTTTTTGTTTTTTTTGTTTTTTCTCTGTCTTTTAAATTGGTTGCTTGCTTTCATTTGATACAAATTAAAGATTATTAATGTAAAGATCAACTTTTATTAAAAAGTTATATTTTGAAATTTTTATCATTTTTATTTATTCTTGGTTTCAATTATTTGATTGATGCTAAAGAAATAAAAAAAAAATTGTTTTAACATTATTTGGAGAAATTAAAAATGATTTTAAAAAAATCAATGTAATTTTTTTATTTTTTAATAATGGTTCCAGCTGACAAAATTACTTTCTTAGGGCACAATTTCTTGACTATTTAGGACCTTGAAATCTCAAGAGATTACAAAAAGGCACTGAATATCAGTCAGTTATATTGAAAGTTTTTTTTAGAAAATTTCATGTTAATGTGTTTTAGTTTTCATATTACAAAGGACTGAATGGTTCTAACAGTTTAAAGTGTCTTTATGTCAATTCTTGAACTGCTGATAGAATGATTTCAGATTTTTATTTACAGTAAATTCTAATCTTCAATTTGGTCCATCATTCTTTCTTTGAATTCCATCAGAGTTTGAGTGGTATTTCAAGCAGATTCCACACTTTGAAACCTTGCATTTACAAGTGATTTTATTAATGAAGACAAGAGGAAAGTTTATTGCTGACGCATTTCATCCTCTGAGGGATTTTATCAAGGCAAATGTAAGGATTTTATTACGTGACAAGTATTTATATACAAGAGCAAAAGTGTTATTGGTTTTCAAGATTTTTATGTATAGGGGTGCTCATGAATATTCATCAGGTTAACAGAAAAGTCAGGCAAGTTTATGGAGGACATGAGATTATTCAATGTCTAGTAAACGAAAGTGAGTAGGTGATTTAATATATAAAAAATCTACTCCCTTTCATTTATTGATTTCCTCATGTTATTGTATATTGTAGTGGAATCGACAGAATTAATTTAAAAGAATGCGGCAATTGATTTTTAGACCAATAAGATTCAGTATCGAAAATTTAACCAATGAAAATGATTCTTGGTATAAGAAGATGAGGCACATTACTATTTAAATTTGGGATTAATTTATGTGTTATAAATTATAATATTTTTGCTCTTGTATATAAATAGTTGTCACAAAATAAATCCTTATATTTGCCTTGATAAAGTCCCTCAGAGGATGAAATGCCTTGGCTATGGTAAGCTTTACTTATTCATATTGTCCTTTTTATAGATAGAGTATATCTGAAATTTTTGCACAAGTTGTTTTCTGCATTTTCTATTAAAAAAAAATTTGATTGATAAGTAAATCAGAATGTACTTCTTACTTTGAACTCTTGTTCAATTAGTAAGGTAAAATACTGTGTAGCTATACATTACTGAATTTTTTAAATGACAGTTTTGCTTTAGTGTTCATTAGAATGTGAAAAAGACACCAGAGAGTTTTGTAAATAACATTACAGATCAATCAGATCCTGCAATTCCACACACTGCAATTTTTCAAAAAAAATTTTGTAAACAAGCCTACCAGAGATTTTGCTTATGCTCAATGTATTCTTTTGGCTTGACTGAGATGTGTTCTCCAAAATTTGGCTAGGACCTCTCCTATTGTGCTTGCCCTGAATAAATATCTCCTGTAAACATTCCCTCAGTGTTAGTTTTAAAGTAAGAGATATATTTTGCACCAAAGGTTGCTTTTTTTGTGGCAAGGTTGCCTAGACTGTTCTTGCACAAGACTTCCCATTCTTTAGTTCTTGCCAGTTAGATTCATCAAATTCTTTTTCAATGTCTGTAACCATTATTTTGTTCCCCAAAACAATAGTTTCCTCGTGTTATTGTATGTTGCAGTGGCATTGACAGAATTAATTTAAAAGAATGGTCTAAAAATCATCACGTGTTTTTTTTTCTATTTTTTATAGGATAAATAAAAAGGAAAGAAAACAAAAATTGTTATGCTGTATGCGATAAATTCTGATTGTTTATTTATATCATTACAGAACCTCTTCAACGAGAATGCCAAGTAGACTCCATAGTTCAGCTAACCCACGATACGAAACTATTACGAGTATTACTACCAGATGGTTGCTTAATGAACGTCCCTATAGGTTATCACTTACGTCTGTATCATACTATAGGAGGTAAGTTGGTATATTTTTTTTTCTTTAATTTCTCAACTGGACATATCCCTTTAGGGTACCTCAAAAGTTTTACAAATGCATCACTTTTTGGGTACCTCAGAAATCTAGTTCATTTCTAGTATTAGTCAGTTTTTGTATCATCTCGTATTAGTTTACCCACCTCTTCTTCATGTATGTGCTGGACTTTGGTTTGTGTTCTTATACAGCATATCAACCTCAATAGGTTATTTGATGTTGATAACATTTTTATTGATGGTAATATTTTTTTTCAAAAATGTATTGCAGCTATTAAAACCTATTTTTACACTTTTATAGTGTTTTGACCCCAGTTTAGGAGTTAACTATTTGTCCATAACTGAGACCTTAACAGTTTCTACTACCCTGGTTCTGGATAAACCTGGGAACACTAGTAATTAAGAAGTGGTTCCACACTCCTCAAAACCTCCCGATGAGAGGCCTTGCTGCCGGATGTAGTTTATCATCCTACTCAAGATGTCTCATTGGGTGGGAGAGTTTTACCCCTCTGCAGAGGTGCAGTTGGTGTATTCTGAAGCCCCAGCCAATAAGGCAAGCCGGACATAGGCAATCATGGTTCTCCACAATTTCCTTTCTAGTTCTTAGTAGGTTTGCCATTTTGCTATCTCTCCTAATCCTTATTTACACAAGCACATTAGGTATGTTATTTACTGTTTCCCTCTGTCCCTGTGAGTGTCAAATTCTCCAAGTTTTTTTTTTTTTCATTCTCACCCTAGAAATTTCAACTCTCTCTTTCTGAAGCATAAGTATCCTTTTCGTTTCCATTTTCTTCAAAACTTCATTGCTCACATGTTCATTTCATGGTATTCTCAGCATTCTTCGGAAGAACCACGTCTGTTGTCTCAAGTCTCTTCTTCATCCGTGAAATATTAGAGAAAATGATAGCAAAAAGGACACTTATACTTAACATCAGGAAGAGAGAGTTGAAATTTCTAGGGTACATAATGAGGAAAGAGGGCTTGGAAAATTTGATACTCACAGGACAGATTGAAGGCAAAGAGGGATAGAGGAAAACAATGCATAACCTACCTAGTGAACTTGTGTAACTGGCTGGCAGAATATGGTTTAGGAGAGATACAAAAACAAAATTTATTACGAGTTATAAAGGACAGGAAATTGTGAAGAGCCATATTTGCCAGTGTCCTGAAGTAATTCTAGCAGGGGTCAATTTATTACTTAATGATAGGAAATCAATTTTCATTTTATATCCTGTAGAATCTGATCTTAGCATTTATCCTCCTGACACCTTTTTTTTTTGTGTGTGTGTGTATGTATATATATATGTATATACATAATATTAGGCAGCATATATTTTATATATAAAGAAATAATCATTGATTCTGTCTAAGATTATTTCTTTATATATATATATATAAAAAGTCTGCTCAAAAAAAGCTTCCTTAGCCCAGCTATGTAGCCTACATTGACAACAGTTTTGTGTTGGTGATCGTCACAGCAACATCTTTGTTCATGGATTACTTACCAGTTGTTTCATGCTCAATAAAGATATTATTCAAAATGTCAAAAGTCCTGCATTTATATATTTCTTTGTAAGTAGTGGGTATTTTGTTTTCTACACCTACAGAAAGTACAAACCATTATTTTTACATGAAATCTTAATTTCATCCCTTAAAAATCCATGTCAGCATTACATGACTGGCTTTATTACCTGTATCTGTATGTACACAAAATTTATTAAATTTTATATAAAACTATTTTCTGGGTATATGTTATTTATATAAAACTATCTTCAGGCTATATGTATAAGCTGTGCTATGAAATATAAAGGGATATCGTGTTTATGCTTAGGTTCCATTCCCAAGCTGCACCATTTTATTAATACAATTTAAATAGGCTGTATTCCAAAATCTAAAAAGCCTGAAAACTGAAGCTCTTCTGGTCCCAAGAATTTCGGATAGAGGATTCTCAACTTGTATAGCTACTGAATATAATGTTTATAGTAATAACCAATAATGTTTATAGTAATAACCAATAATGTTTATAGTAATAACCAATAATGTTTATAGTAATAACCAATAATGTTTATAGTAATAACCAATAATGTTTATAGTAATAACCAATAATGTTTAATTGAAAAATCTATTTATTACTTTTAAAATTTGTTCCAAATACAAATACTAACCTTTTATTCATGTAGACATGCAGATCTTTTGAGATGTTAGCTTAGTTTGGCACAAGGCCATTAAGCACGAAAATGAGAGATGAAAATCTTTTTGTGTATTTGGTGGGGGAATCCCAGATTGCCCACCTTGAAAACTAGCATTTAAAATTTTGACTATTATCTAGTCTTAAGCACCAGTTCCATTCTTTAAACATGTATTGAATTGTTAAAATGGCTGCCGTAAAGAAAATAATAACTTTATAAAATACAATCATCATCTCATTGTTTGGCTGATTGTGAAATTGAGTTGCCAACCATCACCCTTCATCGCTCTGAATCAAGGTGTCACTTTGTTAATATAAATCACAGAACTTAGGTTCTGATTTAATTATTTTGATATATTATTCAAAGCTAGTTTTATAGTTATTCATTGATTTTTAGCTTAGCATGGCACAAGGCTATAAGTGTGAGGATCGAATTAATTACATAGTAGTTTAAGATTATTTATTACCCACTGAGAGATTTTGTAACTCCACTTTAGGAATAGTTTGTTTTGAAGACATGATCAAAGGGAGATAATCTCGTCAAAAGTAGTAAAATTGGGAAAACTTGAATCTTCGGAAAGAACGGAGTGTCAACGTTTTTCTCTTGACACCGCATTTATTTTAACCATTTTCACTCTTCGGTAATGTTTGTTTTAAAAAGTGTTTGTTAGAATTTTAATAAAACCTAAACATGTGAATTTAACTTGGTAAATTTTTATTTTAACACCCGAGCGTTAATATCCCTTCAAATTTTTCCAAAATAGTTTTATTTCCGTGCTAATGTATATGCTGAACTCAAATCAACAATTAGATATTGAAGAAACCTACCTTTTTGGATGTTAACGACCCGAAAAAAATCGGACTTTTTCCTGGTCTTTCGTCAGCCATTACCGGCTTATTGATAAGTAATTCAGTGCTGAATTTTGTTGGTGGACGTATACAATTTGGGCCTATTTACTTCATTTACAGTAATTCCTTGTAGAAATTAGTATGCACTTCCGTAAAGCGATTTTTTTTTTTTTTTTTTTTGTTAACTTTCAAATTAGGGTTAGGTTTTTTTTTTTTTTTTTTGTCATTCTTTTATTTGTCAATGTTTACATATATTTGAAAGTTAACTTTCTTCTTAAATTAAGTACAAAAAAAATCGCTTTACGGAAGTGCATACTAATTTCTGAAAGAAAATAGTTTAGCAGTGAATGACGCTCGGGTGTTAAAATGAAAATTTACCTTTAACTTTAGAATAAAACAATTTCTAAAGTATTAATGGATTTATTTTTAATCTGACATTATTACTTCAAACGTTATTATAGTGGACAATTCATATCTGAAACCACATTATTTTTATTTTACTTATTTTACAGTGTGTATTATTTATATGTATTTGAAAAGTATTAAGAAAATGTGCTCTTCAGCAGGAAATGAACATACATTCCCCTTCGTAGGCGAAACCAACATTAGGACGCATATTTCAAATTTGAGTATCCACTATAATAATGTTTGAAGAAGTATATATATATGTATATACATTCTTTAAGACATTCTTTTTGTCATTATTAAAGACAAGATTTTGTGCTGATTAATTTTAATGATTGATTTTTTTTTTTTCCAAATTACAAATAATCCTTTTCAGACAAGGAGAAACTTCCATTAGAAATTGACCCAAGTTGGAAGAAAATTCCAAAAAATATCATCCAAGCTTTTGACTTTAATTCATCATCCGTGTAGGTATAGATAATTGGTGAGTTTCATAGAACAAGTGAGTGTTGTGACATAAATGAGATGTGAAATATTTTCACACATCTGTTGAGTCTTGGAACATAATCCAGGGTATGATGATAAACTACATCTGACAGCAAGGCCTCTGATTGAGAGAATGGAGGTTTTGAGGAGTGTAGAACCACCTCTTAATTGCTGCTATTTACAGGTTGACCCAGGGTGGTAGCACCTGTTAGGGTCCGGTTATGGGTAAATAGCGAACCTCTAAACAAAAATAAAACACTATGAAAAAATAAAAATACAAGCAATACATTTTTTATAATAAAAAAAAAAATTACTGGCAATAACTTTTTATAGTAAAATGACCAACAATACAATTTTATAGTAGAATTTACCAATGATACATTTTATAATGGTGCAGAACTAATTTCAACTTGGAACAAAGAGTTAGGGTTTTTAAATTGAGTTGAAATTAGTTCTGTGATTCATTTTATAGTAGAATTAACCAACAATACATTTTATAGCAAAATGACCGACAAAACATTTTATCTGTAATTGTAGGCATACAATTGCGTTCAAAATATATTTAGGTGAAGCCTTAAAATTGTGTTCCAAAAATTAAATTTTGGCATTAAATGACCCATAAGGAGTTGATGTGCCATTAAACAAACAAATCAATCCACATAGATGAAAGGGGGACTACTCTATTATTTTATTTATTTTATTTTTTTTTTCTAATTTTAAAAATGCTTTAATCGTATAATGATTTTATTAATATTTATCTTACTTTATTCAAATTTTAAGCCACTTCTCTGCTACCTTTTATTTTACCTGTTCCTTATTTCTTTTTCAAAAACCCTTGATATTAGCAGCACTTGTAATGAGATAAAGAAAAGTCTCTTTTCGTTTTTTTATGGAGTCCTGAACGTTCATCTCAGGATGAAAGGCTAAAAATATTTTTCCTTTTTTTTATTTACAGATATGGAAGTATTCCGTCAGTATACTCCAGTCTTGCCCTCCCTTTCACCTAGTCGAATGGACAGTCTTGAGAACGATGGTCGAGTTGTTTACATGATGGTTAAAATTTATGAAGATGGTACCTTAACACAATGGATAGACACATTAAAAACAGGTAAGGAGCTATTTCTTGTGCGTTAGTACTTGGTTGATTTTGGTTTCATGCCAATGATTGTGTTTACAAAGCTTTACTTTGCCTTGCACAAATCTACTGTTTACCCATATAAGCACTGACCAGACTCGATGTTGCTTAACTTTGGTAACTAGATGAGAGTTGGCACTTTCAGTATGATTTAAATCCTCTAGTAATTATTATTAAATTTTTGTCACTGCATATCCTTGATTTACTCTATTTACATTCAAACTATTGTCCTCATCTTTGTTATGGCAACGTTTCAGACATTGTGGCCTTTGGCCTTTAATATTTATTGATCCGGGTAACCTACAAGGAATTCCAAACTGAGCCCTTTATTTAATTTACTGGATAGACTGTTCTCATTCCACTGCCCATATTTAGGGATATTTTATCTTGTTCTTATTTTTAGTACTGATTAGTTATTGTTCTCCATGTTTCCACTGAGTCCAGGGATTGAACTCAGAATTACTATGTCACTAAATTCACAAACTAATGCTTTAATTCGCTAGGCTATTGTTTCATAGGACCTGATGAAGGCCGGAGAGCACAATATCCGAAATGATCATTTATTGCTCTCCCCATTTTCACTGACTCCAAGTACAAATTGCCTGACCCAGGGATTGAACTCGGAATTATTTGGTCATCAAATTCACAAACCAACACTATAATTCACTAATAGCATTATCGCTTTGTTTTATTCAATTCACTCAAAGCAAAGTTAGGAAGAAATGTATTGTCTGTGGTCAAGAATTGATGCAAGCATTACTGACACAATGGCCCTAAAGCATAGAATATTACATATACACTGTAAACAATATTATTAAAGAACTGCATTGTAAAAAATGAAGACTTTGTCAGTAGAGTAGAATTAATGTGAGAGTGCTGAATACAGTCATTATAATATAGATAGTTGCTTTTATGTATTTGCATTGATTTTGCCATGGCGTATTAAGAAAGGATGCATGGTAGAGTAATGGATTGCAGTTCCGATTAAGGAATTGGAGAGCCAAGTTCAATCTCAACTCAAGTTCATTACAATCACTTACATCCTAATACCCTTGGGAGATGTATAAGTCCAACTCTTCCCTCTTCAGCTATCAGTAAATAGGACAGACTGGAGATGGAAAACTTTGAATTCAAAACTGTACGTAGCCCTGGCAAAGCTCATACTATGCAGCTAAGGAAAGTATCGTTTGTATTGACTCAATGATCTGACTACAGTTGACTCCTGGATAATATTCTTAGGTACATTTCTGATGTACTGTTTCCCATCAGGCCATGGGCGATCATGGCTCTCCTCAGCTTCTTTTTTCATTTTGTCATTCAGTTACCCACTATATGATAATGGTAATATTAGCTGTTTCCTTATGAGGAAAGGCTTACAGCCACATGTGCTGAGACACCAGTTCCCATGCAATTGCCAAAGTTAAGTCAGTACCTAGATGGGTGACCACTTGGAATAACAGGTACCGTAAGCTTGGATATGTGGGTGGTGTAATGGATAATGGCATGGAATTATTAATCAAAGAGCCAAGATCCAGTTCCAGTTGGGCTCGTTATATTTATGTGCACACAAATACCCTCCACTTGAACTCTGAAATTTTATTTGCTAATTAAATCTTGACCTCTTCAAATCTAGAATTAGCTGTCAATATTTCCTGTTATCTTACCTTTTCTTAAATTAATACAACTCCACACAATAACCTTCTACCTTGAGGGGCCCTTGGACCTTCTATTGAGTGAACATTAGCCAAGAAAAAGAAAAATGTATTTGCGCAAAGGTGAATGTAATGAACTTGGGTGTAATTGATTACCAGCTGAAATTAGAGCGCCCAATGTACCCTGCTATTTAAGCCATAGCTGTCAGGGCTAAGAGATGGATTCATGCCTTTCCCAATATTAGGAGTAGATAGGTTTGCCTATCGTCCGGTTCAGAGTAGAGGTTCATCTCTTATTTCTTGTTTAGGATTGTTTCCGGCTCCTTCTAAAATCTACTTCCACACTATTACTTCTAACGTCTTTGGCTGACCTCTGAAATGTTAATTGCTAATTAAATCTTGACCTCTTCAAGTGTAGGATTAGCTGTCTGTCTTTCCTGTTATCTTCCTCTTTTTTACGCTAATACAACTCCACACAATAACACTCTACCTTGAGTGGCCCTTGGGCCTTGTATTGCGTGAACATTAGCAAAAAAAAAAAAACTATGAATACCTTTGTCATCAGCATGATAATTTATAATAAATTCTGTGCTTTCAGGTTGTTCACTTAAACTCAGTATGTTTGAAGGTGATTTTGAATTCGAAAAACTGCTTAACTGCACTCATCTTGTAATGTTTGCGGCGGGAACAGGCTTCACTCCGATGGTTCGGCTTATTCATTATGCCTTGACCAATGAAGAATGCAGTAATCGGTAAGTGATTGCCATTTTCCTCACTCAAAGACTTAACAGACCTTTTCGTCCTTTCTATGTTAGATGGCAGCCTAATCAAGAAATACAAGTTTTGACTGCTTTTCCGGAAAGTATCCAGCCGTCTACTATTAGGTTGAGTAATTTCTGTTTTGTTTTGTGTGTGTGTCTGTGTGTGCATATGTGTGTGTAGGTGGGGGGGCATCCTGTCATAATGCATCATTGTCACTGCTGATTCTATATGGCAGTTAAAAATAAAATTGAAGTATAATAACATGGTTTAGTTTTAGCACAGTGGTGCTAGGGTCAGGACCGGGCTTCACCTGCTTCAGACCCTGATCTATATGAAATTCGAGGCCCTTTTCTAAAAAAAAAAAAAAAAATGGTTAAATAAATTTTAAATTATTATGCATGATTATTATTTATTAATGATTAGATACAATTTTTGATGATTTACTGTTAAAGAATAAAAACTAATGAAATAAAAAAAACAAAAACAAGCTCCCCTCTCCTTGCCTTAAGGCAATGTAACTCTAATCTATAGCTTATTTAACTTACAGTTAAGTTCAGCACTGGGTAGCATATGCAGTGGATTGAAGGAAAAACCTTGTTCTCCTCAATGAAAATGCAAGGCCACATACAGTAAGGATAACACAGGGAAAAAACGTGGAACTCTCTTGGTCTGTTCTATATTCTTCCCCCAAGATTTGTTGTAAGCTGCTGAATTTTAGTCAAAAATATCAAAGAGGTACCTGGTCAGTGGCAACAAATCATCACAAATAATGGTGAATGTACAACTGAATAAAATGTAGTTATGCTTTATTCAGTGAAGAATTGATAAACAAAAACAAATATTCTTTAAAAATAGCTAAAAAGAAAAAAGGCCTACCTAGTGAAATGAGACTTTAGACCTCTTTAAAGTACTCTCCTTGGGACTTCACACACATATTCCTGCATTGTTTCCAATTTTTAAAAGATTTTTCAAGGCCCTCTTTCAGGATTGCTATCAACTTACTTCATCCACAATCTGAAATCTTCTCCCATTCAGCCAGAAGTACAAGTGTTGGAATCAGAACTGCATTAGGTATTGATGCACCTGAGTGATATGGTCTTTTGATGAAAACCTTGCATGACGCTTGGCTGATCTGTTTAGCTGTATCACAGCTCATCAGTGTGGCTAGACATATGATTGCTTCAACCCAGGATTGAAACCTGACCAATTTGACATCAGTCAGAGACTCTCACCCCTAGGCCATCAGTGCACGCTAGGAAGAAAGGGAATTTTTAACACATAAGTATTACTGGCTACCATAATGAAAAGCTTAGCATTAATCAGCTGCCATCAAACTCCCACAGTGCTCAACCTATGAAAAGAGCATATATAGTGATTCACAGACAGACTGTTTCACTGTATCACAGCTCATCAGTGTGGTTAGTGAATATACATAGTATCCAACTTTGACAGTATGACTCAGTTTCATGCAAACATGCAATCTTCAGGTGCTGAAAACATTCTGCCGGAAATTCGGGTTCCCATAGTGATGATTTAAAATTGTTTTGTTGCCTAAAAAATATAATTATTTATAATTTATATCATTTAAATTCTTAAGTTCAATGACAAAGAATTAAAAAATTAAAATAAAAAATTATTTTAAATGAAATCATTTGAAATTAAGTAAACACATTGTCAAGGGGGCTAACTCTTTTTTTTTTTTTTTTTTTTTTTGCATAAAGTACCATACTTATAACATTTAATGTACTATTTGTAATAAGTGGTTGAAACTATATATCTAATGTGTTTTGAACCTAGCCTTATACTTAATACATATGTTATACATGAATCTAGTCTGATAATATGTTACCATGTGTATAGATATATATAAAAAATGTTATTAAGGATGGGTTCCATGAATATTAATAGGTGTTACATATATTAATATTCATAAAATCTATTTTGAAATCAATTTTAGTCAGGGTCAATGTGTTGGATATTATGTATATTGACTAATATATACTTAATATCTGTGTTATATAACATTAAGCACTATATTTATAACATGTGATAAAGAAATATATATGTATGTGCAAGTATATGTGCATATATGTATATCCTTTTATCATACACACACACACACATATATCATTTCACCTCAACCAAAGCGGGAATGCCACTAGTATGCAGGGGGTTACAGAGAGTGAAAGTGAGAAAAAAATACTGGGTATAGGAGGAATTGAAGAAGTGATAAAAGATGAATGGGGTTCAGACAACAGAAAATGGTGATTGATGTTGCATTTAAACTTTTGGTAAAAAAAAATATATATAAAATACAATAATTATGTTTTAACTTAGTACAAGTCCATTTACAAACTCTTTCAAACTGCTAAAAGGAGAGAGAGCTTCAATTAAATGCTGTGAATCAAATTAATATTACATTAACATGATTTAATACAAACGTGTAATATATATAAACTTGGTTCACAAATTTAATTTGTTCCTGAAGGCCGTTTGTAACCTGAAATGTTCGTAGACCGAAATTATTTTTCCAATAGGAAACAATGTAGCGGAAAAAGGTCACAATACAATAAAATTGGAAAAGAAAAACACAACACTCAACTCAGAAATTATTCCATTCTGGTTAACTCAGTTTGGCAATGTTGTTTGAAAACCAAGGCATTTTCATCTTGAATTTTCTGTTCAAAAACCGATATGTTTGACATGTGAGGCATTTGAGAACTGAGGTTGCACTAATATGGTGTTCCAATAACTTGGTCCCATTTTAAATGTGAATTAAGTTTAAAATCTTTCCAAGTTAGGGAAACAGACTTTTTATATATATATATATATATAAATAAGAAATATAGTTTTAATGTGCACTATATTTACGGGATAAAGTGCTCAATAATATCAGAGATAGTGTATGTAAATATAAAAGAGAACAATGAAGTCAACACTTGGAGGTGACAGGCTGTTTCATGCTAGATGTAATCATCAGGCCGCCTGACAATTATATCTAGCATGAAACAGCCTGTTGCCTCTAAGTTTTGACTTCAATGTTCACTTATATATATATATATATATATATATATATATATATATATATATATATAATGCAAACAGAAATAAATGCTCAAGCAATGGTGGGAAGACATTGCAGAGAATCAAGAGAAAAATATTAAATTCAAACAAAAACATACATTCAAGACCAGCAAGCTTCTCTTTCTTATTGGCAGCCTTCTGTGTGTGTGTGTTTTTTTTTTTTTTTTGTTTTTAAAACAGTTATAACATTATTATTATATTAACAACAAATAACAAAGATCTGTTGGTAATGAGATTTTTCTTCTATGTGTCTGTTGTCTCATTTCAGATCAGTAACTTTACTGTTTTTTAATAAAACGGAAAAGGATATTATATGGCGTGAAGAATTAGACAAGATCTGTTGGTAATGAGATTTTTCTTCTATGTGTCTGTTGTCTCATTTCAGATCAGTAACTTTACTGTTTTTTAATAAAACGGAAAAGGATATTATATGGCGTGAAGAATTAGACAAGATGTCAGCACAGTACGAAAGGTAAGGATAATTGATATCTATATGCATGTATATTTGCTTGACTAGTGTAAGAATTTAATGTTTTTCATTTATTGATGTTGGGGTTGCAATTTATGAAATGTCAAAACAATACTAAGCAATATATCCAAGTACACAGTGCCCAATTCAGGGATTGAACTTATAATTAAAATATCACCAAATTCACAAATCAGCACTTTAATATACTTGGTTATTGTCGCATGGGGCTCTTTGTTATAATATCTACAACATTTCAGCTGTTGTGCTCTCTAGCCTTCATCCGGTGATTGTTAATTCAGGTAACCTTGAGAGAAACTGAACCATATATTTAATCTGTGGGGAGGGGGTTCTCATTCCAATGATTGTCTCTGGATATCTTGTCTAGTTCTTATTTTTAGTAGTGTTCAGTTATCGTTTGCCCAGTTTCCACTCAGTCCATGTAAACAGTGCCCAGTTCTGGATTTGAACTCATTTATGATGACACTTAATTCACAAACCATTGTTTTAATTCACTAAGTTTTTTTTTTATTTGCTAGGCAGTCAAATAATTTTAGAGGTTTTCATTTTTTATGTCTGGCTTTGTATTGTTATGAACTGGCAACATATGGATGTGAACACTGTTATAGCATAATACCTATTCTATTGTAATAGACTCTCCCACAGATAAGTAGTAGTAGCAGTGGCTAGTTGGGCTCAGTGGTGTTGAGTGAGTCAGTCGATGTCGGACATTGACGTATCAACCATCACAACTAGATTGCTGCGTCATTAACTCTTTTTTCAAGTTCCTAACATTTTGTACGTCGGACTCTTTTAGGACAGATTTAGTGAAATACAAGCCTCCACTGTGAAAACTACTCTACAGCAAACACCAAGTTCAAAAAGGAAAGATGAAATCGCTCAGATAGAAACGCATAACATGAGTCATCGAACAACAAATATATGATGAAAGTTTAAAAACATGTCTATATAACAAAACAATTGAATAGGGAGAAAATCTTAAGATCAACAAGAGGCACTTATCTAATACTGGATATAACTCTGATTATCCATGAATCATGAGTTCATAAGTTGAAGTGTTCATAACAGCAAAAGAAGTTCTTTAGAATGTCCGAATGAAAATCTGTAATTATTCTTTCTGTAATATAAACAGGGAAATTCCAGAATGGTACTTCTGTTTTGTTCCACTTTTAGTAATTGAAATAAATCCAAGACTGGGAAGATTTCTTTGGGAATATTTTCTTATTCGGTACGCATCTAATAATCAAATAACTCCATAGGCACATTTCTATTGAGCATATTAAAATATATTTAAAAAATCACATTTGGCAGCACATATTACATTGTCTTGGGTGACCGACTTTTACTTATTCCATTATTAGGTCAAACTGTCTGGTTGTTAAGTGACTCAACTTCTGTCCTGCCACTTCTCAGTCTAGACAGGAAATAAAGAAAGAAGAAAGAAAGTGTAAACACAAAGAAAGCCTGTCCCTTGTTAGATTGGTAAAATACGTTTGACGTTAATTTAAATATTGAAGGCCATGTCACAGTATGTTGTTCTTTGTGTCATGATTCGAAGTTTTGCTTCACTTCTTTTAGGTTTTGTGTAAAGTATGTATTGTCAGAACCGAGTAGCAGTTGGGCAGGAACCACTGGTCATCTCAATGAAGAACTGGTTCAAGAATATCTTCCTCCTCTGTCCACTTTGGTTGACCAGAAGATGTTGATTTGTGCTTGTGGGCCAACGCCATTCACTGCTAATGCCATGAGGTAAGACCAGAGGTCAACAAACTGTTTGATTGATATTCAGATTAACACAGACAAACACACACACACATATATATATATATATATATATATATATATATATATATATATATATATAAAAGGAATCAATGGAGTTTCTATTGGATGCCTATGTTTGAGTAGACACTCTGCTTTTGTAAATGTGTTTTCCAGCATTTTCTTTAAGTCTCTTGATAGTGCAGACCCATTGACATAGTTCACGCTATTTACAAAAATGGGCATCATGGAGCTTGAGACCATATAGTGTTGAAACACTGGTTTCCATACAATCACTGAAGTTAAGCAATGTCAAGCCTGGTAAGTATCTTGATGGGTGACCATTAGGGAATACCAAATGCTCAATGTGCAATAAGCTCAAATGTGCAGTTAGTGTAATGGATAATGAGTTGGAATTTTTAAATTAGAGAAGCAAGTTCCAATTTCATTTTAGTTCATTATATTCACTTATGCATGCACAAATACCCTTAGGAAAGGTATCAATCCACCTCTTCTCCCCCCCAGCTCTGGGTTAATTAGTAAGGCTTGAAAATTAATATTTTCTAGTTTTAAATAGCCTTGTCTCACTAAATCATTATCTTCAAAAAAAGAAAAAAAAAAGAAAATTCTTACAATCTAAAAATATTTTCTGGCTTTAAATAAATTGCAAAGGATTAATAAACTGTAAAAAAACAAATAAATCAATTAATACTCAAGCATGGATATCCACAAAATGACATTTAGAATAGTAAATATATATATATATATATATATATATATATATATATATATAATTATAACTGACACTCAATTTTATATCTTCCTTTCTTGTTGCAGCTAGTTTTTTTTTTTTTTTTTTTTTTTTTTTTTTTTTTCAACATCTACAGAGCCCATCAATGCTGAGCGGATCTTTGTTAGACTTTTTATGAGAATGTAACATCTGGCCTGATTAAGTTTGAACAACATCAGTTCTCTCAAACCCTTCTTTTATATATATATATATATATATATATATATATATATATATATATATATATATATATATATACATACACACACACAAGTATAGGATTGGTATATACGGAATAAATTCCAATAAACAACAAATACTATTCTTAAAAGAGTGCTCACTTCATTCAACATCATCACTTGGTAAGACACCAGAAGTGTTGAAACAAAATGGCTATTATGATTATTATATATATAAAATATATTATTAAATATATATAAGTAATTGTCAGGCCACTGATTGTATTTAACCCTAAACAGATTCACACACTTTTCTACCTTTCTCTGGCACAATTCTATGCACTGTCTTCAAAACATGTCCCCTTGATGGTCCCCTTGAACTTGGGGAAAAGATAAAAAGTCACACAGAGCAAAATCAGGTGAATAGGGAGGTGGCAGTGTTCTTTTTGGCCAGGAACTGCTGGATGTGCATGGTTGTGGTGAAGCAGCAAGCATTTGTCCTGTCACAACTCTCATCTCCTCTTGTGCACTGGGTGAAGCAAATGCTGGAGGGACTTTTTGTAAACTTGCTGATTGATTGTCTGGCGCTGTGGCAAGGAATCACTGTGGACAATACCTCTCACAACAAACAACGGATAAGTCCCATTACTTTTCATACAGACTATATATATATATATATATATATATATATATATATAATTGAATGAAGAAATATAGTTTTTAGGTGTGCTATATTTATGGGATAAAGTGCTCAATGTCAGAGATAGTGTATGTAAATATAAAAGGGAATATTGAAGTCAACACTCGGAGGCGACAGGTTGTTTCATGCTAGACGCAATTGTCAGGCTGCAAATTTTTTTTACTACATTAATAAAACATCGAAAACCAAAAAGAATAAATAAATATATAAAATAAAAAAATGAAAATAAAAAACAAGTGAATTAAAATTAACCCAAATAAATAAACAAGCCACTCTCGCCAAAATAACTGCCAGAATGGATTACCCATTATGCACCACAGACCCATATATATATATATATATATATATATATATATATATATATAAATAGTTGACAAAAAATCCAACACTCGTGGCCTGACAATTGCGTCTAGCATGAAACAGCCTGTTGCCTATGAGTGTTGACTTCATTGTTCACTTACATATAACATGGTGTATCAAAACTACTTTTATAAACTATAGGGGTGGGTTCCTCACACCAAATCAAGAACAAAAGTTCATATAAATATGTCAATAAAAAATTTGTTTTTGAGTTTTTAAGTTTAAAGAAAGTTTATGGTAGATGGTGCTGTGTTGTCATGTAGACTAGGTTACATTTGTCATTCATGTACATTTGTGGCTAGTCTGTCTTCAACAGTTAACATGTGTAGTAGTGAGTTAACTGAGAAGCGTTCCATTTAACAATGACAGGATATTCATATTGTGAGCAGACAGATATGATTTTTATATATGGTTATGGTATGTGAGGTTACATGGCTGTATCAGATTGCATTTTCAGACCAAAGGCAGCCGAGTCATCCAACCTTTGTTTCTATTGTTGTGTTGCTGAGATGGGATCTGTGGTACCACAATCTATGGATAGAAGAAGACTGAGATCCGCTCTTGCACCTGACCACGAAGAACATATTTGGAGACAATCCAGGTATCAGTACATGTCAAGTGGCCCTAGCATGTTGTACATCTCATAGTACCACATGGAGGGCACTTCAAGAGCAGCTACTGTATTCGTAACATTTGCAACGTGTGCAAGGTCTTTTGCCCTATTATCACTCACCATGGGAAAACTGTTGCCGATCCATTGTTGGTCTCTTCAGTCTTGTTTACAGATGAGGCCACATTTAGAAGAGATGAAATAACAAATTTACACAACCTACATTTCTCCTCTGCAAAACAATGTTAACATTCATAATATATTCTTTATAGATAATGGTTAGACACCAGCATCATTTTACAATTAATGTGTGGGTTGGAATTGTAGATGACTGGTAGGTCTGGCATGAACTTTTCTCCTTGTTTTGATGTGTCGAACCTACCCACAAAAGTCTAGAAGTATTTTTGATTCACCCTGTGTATAAATATATATATATATATATATATATATATATATATATATATATACACACACACACAAGATGTGATGGGTAAATTGTTGCCATTTTATATTTTTCATTTTGCACATATGCATTGTTTTGTTTATGATTTTGTTGAATGCACAGCTATAGTATAGTCAGAAAAAAAAGGAAAAAAAAAGGAAAAAGAAAAGTGAGAAAAAAAATCACCATGATGCAATTCACTCCACCAGAAATTTGGAAATGGCATGTGATCCTCCTTGGCATTTGCGCTGGAACCTCCAATATGAGCATTTCAGAATCTGGATGATAAGCTGAATTATGTGGCTTATTAAGCCAATCGTCCAATGGAGCTTGCATTCATCTTCACTTGGCTGATTTTTCTTTCATCACTCACTCACTCAGTCAGGTCCCATAGACTATCCTGAGACATTCTCAACACAGTAGCTGCTCTATCAAGTATGTTTTTCATGAGATGGAGTTACCTTATGCCTAACTGGTTTTGAATTGAAAGTTGTCCTCCTTCTTTGAGAGTGGTTGCCCACCCATTTTGAAGAGTGCATTCTGACCTACTATTTAGCTGGGAGGAGAAGAAATGGATTCATACCTATTTCAAGGATGTGCAAAAGTGAATGTAATATTGTTAATCAATGTCTACCTGAGCATAAATCATCATTCTGTGAATAATCTTCAGAACAAAACTTTGCGAAACAATTCTAACATTCATGATCACTCATAATATATCTTTTATAAGCTGTAGAATTTTTTATTTTTGGTTTTAGAACGTTTATTTCTTTTTTTTCTCCTTTCTTGAATGAAAAAATGCATCATGTTCTGAAAATATTATGCATTTGATTCCATTTTAGATTCAAGAAGTAAAAATATGCCAAGTTTTACAATTTTTTGCTTCTTAAACGGATATTGATTTGCCACAATAGTTACTTATTTTTTAATAAATTTAATTAAAAGCAACTTTTATTTTTTTTTAATTAAAAGTAATTTTTTTATTTTTTTCAATAAATTGAAAGTTTTTTTTTTATTTTTCTAATGAATACAATAAAAAAATTATTTCTTTTAATGAATTAAAAGTAATTTTATATTTTTTTTAAAGAATTTAAGTAATTTTTTTTGTTTTTTAATGATTTAAAATTAAGTACTTCTAATGTCAACTAGCAGTAAATACAGAACAAAAATTTTGACCAAACCAATATTCTGAAAATTTTTTTCCTTTATTTAACTCAATTTTTTTTTTTTTTCTCTCTCTCTCTCCAGGCTGGCCAGACTTCAAGGCTATCGAGATGATTGCCTCCATCCATTCTTAGGCTGACAGACTCTTTGGTAGCACAACAAACGATACTTAACCACAAACATCTCAACCGTTTTCCCACAGGACATGTTTCTATCTGTCTTTATATGTGTGATTTTATTGGTGGTATATACTTTTAATCAAGGTATGATTTTAAAAAAAAAATAAACCATTCACATACATTGGATATGTATTGACCAATACCTGAATTGGTGCTTGGATATAAATGTATATTCTAAACACACACATACACACACAAAAATAATAAATATATATTAGTATATTCTAAATTTTTTTTTTTTTTTTTTTTTTAATTTGTGTGTGTGTCTGTGTTTGTGCATTTGTTTATTCTATGTAAAAAGTTAAGAAAACTTAACGTGCAAGATAGCTTCCTCAGAGAATGAAAAAAAGAAAAGAAAAAAATGTTAGTTTCCTTCCGGAATGATTTTACTCTCTTCTGGTCAGATGATTTTGATGGATGCTGGGGAAATGTCTGGTGGATCATGGGCAGCGGGGTTAAATGTGGTGCCTCTTGCCAGATGAATATGTTGTTCAACATGTCCCAATTCCTCAAGCCTTTCGCAATGCATCTCGTACACATTTAACATTGTGAGATGTGCGCATGTTTTTGCATGTATGTCTTTACTGCTGCATTTTCACCCTCCCACTTTAGACATTTTTGCATGGACAAATAAAGTTGTTGGGTTGTCTAGAAAGTTCATAGTGATTTTTAAGGGAAATTAAAACAGAATTATGCCATTAAACATAAATATGAACAATTCTGTTGCTTGACTTTTCTCCATTTTTCCTTCAATTTAAAGATTCCACCTTCTCAAAATTGTAGTGGTTTCTCGGCAAAGAATTCAGCAAGGTGTTTTTTACTATCCAAAGAATTAAAATTTTTACCATTGAGATAATTTTTCAAATACCTGAAAAAAAGAAACAATGTCTGGTGAATATGGCAGATGGGGTAACACATTCCAGCCAATCTGCAACAAGTTTTGCTGGGTCGCCAAAGAAACGTGAAGTCAGGCACTATCCCGATGGAAAACAACACCTTTCCTGTTTGCCAATTCTGGGTGTTTTTCTTAAATTGCTGCCTTTATATCCTCCAGTTGCAAGCAGTACTTTTCAGAATCAATTGACTTGGGTGACTTGGTAGAAGCTCATAGTACAGAATTCCTTTTCAGTTCCATCAGATGCACAGTATAACTTTCATAGGATGAAGACCTGCTTTTGAGGTGGCTAAACTTGGCTCATATCACTTGCCCAAGGATCTTTATCACTGAACATCATTCTATACAATTGCATTTCTCATCACCTGTTACAATTTGCTTCAAGCAGGGTGCATTTTCATTGCGTTCATGCAGCAAATCACAGATGAAATGCAATCCAAAAGATTCTTTTCACTTGGATCATGTGGTACCGAAACATTGTAGTGATTTGAGTACATAAGCTTCACTAAGTGCTAATGGATGGTGGATTTTGATAAATTTAGTCTTTCTGCCAATTTGTGTGTTGTAGAATGTGGATTATTCTCAATCAATATCTTCATTTGATTGTCATCTGTAGTTGCGGTGTTCTGTCTGAGCATTCTTCATCAATAAGGCTACAATCACCAACTCTAAACTTAGCGAGCCACTTTTGTACAGTTCTGTCAGCTAAAACACATTCACTGTACACAGCACATATCTTTTTTGTTGTTTGTGAGGCACTTTTGCCTTCATGGTAAAAAAAAGCATCACATATCTAAAATGCACCTTATAATCTTCCATTTTCATAGGGATGCAAAATTGACACGAATCAAGTAATTTTAAGCTTTTTTTTCTCAAAAGATAGTTTGAAATGTGCCCTAATCAGAAATGTAAGCCTATTATATCAGTCGGTAAATTTGATGTATTCTAACATGTTTTAACATGAATGACTAAAAATCGGCCTGAACTTTGCAAACAATCCAATATAATTTTATTATGAAATAATAACCACCACTAAAATTGTATTCGGCACCCCAAAAATCAGTTGCCCAGTTTATTTTTGGAAGATAATGTGTTTTATAGCAAGAAGTTTTTGTAAGAACTCAATATTAAAAAAAAAATAAGCATTAATAAGAAACAAAATAAAATAAAATTTCCAACCTTATCTTTTTCCATTCAGTTTCACAGATATGATAATTATATATTAACAGATAAATACAATTTACTTACTCCCTGATAAGTAGATGGCATTTCTGTGAAACTCTTAATCAGGAAGATAAGTCTATTTGTTAATTAAATTTATGCATATAAAGTTAGGTCTATTTTTAATGATCCTTTCCTTTTCTCTAATCAGTTTCTTGAGGGTAAGATGAAATTCATTAAGGAAGTTGCTGTAGCTTTTTCCTACCCAAGTACTTTCATTCTCCTCAAAGATTATTCTCTACTGATCTCGGTAAAAAAAATAAAACTAATTATGCATTATACTAAATTTTATACAACCAAATTAATCATACCCAATAACTCTTCTCCATCAACTAGTGTTTTGGAAAAGACCAACATTTTATATCAGTTTAATACCCTTTGGGAGATTGTATCTCTGACAAAAAAAGTAATTAGATATGTTGGTTTGAGTATCTGTCTATATTTCTGAGATGAGGTATTATGTTCACTGTTTACATTGTTTGGACTATTGTCCTCATGTTTGTTGCCATATTTATCACAACGTTTCGGCTGTTGTACGCTCCGGCCTTTTTCAGGTGGTTGGAATGTCGAACTGAACCCTTTATTTTGCTTGCTGGGGTAGACTGTTTTAGTTCCACATATACACACACACACACACTTGTGCAAATTAATTGAAACAAAATAATTCCATTATTATTTACTTTGTATTTTTCAAATAAAACATGACCCCAGTGCACATTTTACTACTTCGTATGTCCAATCCACGAAGTTGTTCCTTGCATATTGACCACAGATTCTCAGTTGGATTTAAATCAGGAGAGTTTCCGGGACAGTCTATAGTACTTTGATTTGCTCACTGGTAAGACTTGCCAGTGTGTTTGTGCTGCATTCCAAATTTTCATATGCTTCCTTGGAGTAGACCATGGCCATAGGACAACTAATCGACAGTCGAGACAATAGTGTCTGGGCGTGATGAAAATATTATGTAATCACAGATGACGCAATATTTTTCAAGGCCAAACAAATTTCATCACAAACCCCGAAAATAGATTCATATTACTGCATACCACTGTAAATGATCTAATCTGAGGCAAAAATAGAAATCAATTACACCCTGTCACTCCAGTGGGTTTAAAACTGATTGTATGGTGAAAGAAATGAAACTAAAGTAGTTGTTTCAATTAATTTGCACAAGGGTTTATAAAAAGAACTGATAAGGTCTGTTTAAGTTTTTATTGTATTTTTCCAGTTTTCAAATAACGTGTGGCTTATAGTAGGCATCTGTTTATCTAGCACTGGTATTTGATCAAAATTCAGAACTTCGGTGGTGAGACTGAATTGATCTTTCCAGGGTGCAGGTCTAGACAATGATATATGGAGACCGTACTCTGCCCAGACTATGTGGGTCCCCTCTCTTGGCTGTACTGACAAGCTCCAAAAGAATACAGGGCATTACCTTTATGGATGGCTTGACTGCAGGAGTTGCCAGAAAGTGTTGACCATCAACTGCTTTCTGGGTTCCACTCTAGGTTTTCTGTCTGGATTTACTTCCATAACCTTTTCCATGTTTGGATATGACCACAAGGCAGTGGCGGTTTAAAATGATGATTCCTGGTCAGTCAAGTGCTATCTATCTGAAGTAACAGGTTATTAGACTCCAGTTGCCTGCCTTTGCCCCTTCTCCAGCTGGGAGTTGAACTTAGTTGTTAGAGGCTATTTGAAACGCATGCCACAGAAGCATTTTATAAACAGTGGGAGCACTATCATCTCTGGCTATTACACCCTTTGGAACATCTATAATTTATGTATATAAACATTGTATACATTCCATGAAAAATGGTAAGCAAAAATAGTAAAAATAGGACAAATGATCTTCAGGTTAGTTGTACAAAAATATATACTAATACAGAAAAAGATGTAACTGGAAACAGTTGAAAGAAATAATAATAAACAATACATATATAACTTCAAATAAATATAATTATGATGTAAATATAATAATAATAAAAAAAAATAATAATAATTCCAAATCAAATTATTAGATTACTTTTAAGAAATATTTACTTTGAGTTAAAATTAAATGATATTGAGTATTGTACTTGAAATTGATAGCTAGAATTCTTTTGTCAACCTATCACACAGACACCACACTGGTTCTTGATAATGACTGAGATCATTTTTAAGTCAGTCAGTTATGTGCCATGCATGATACACACTTAGGCGATCATGTATCTTTTGATACATGACTGACGAGGTAGATTATTTTCCCGCAGTGGGTTGCCATTTCTTTCTGCGGTAGACAAGTTGCCATCTAAGGCTATAGAAGCTGGTCTGTCCTGCTATTTATCCATGGATGGGGAGTGGGGAGAAGTAGAGGATTCATACCTTTCCCAAGGGTATTAGCGCATAAGTAAATGTAATGGATTCGACTGAAGTTCAAACTCAGCTCTCCAATTCCTCATTCCGAGCCGCTATCCATTACTCCACAAAGTACCTGAACAAAATATGAACTTTGGGCAGTTTATCCACAATTTCAAGCACAATAGTCAACACCTTATTTGAAAATTGTAAAAATAAACAGACAGACCTTGTCGTTTCTTTTTATCAAACTTTTTGGGATGGATACTTGCTGTCTAAATATATCTTATTCTTTCACATATATATATATATATATATATATATAACTTTCTTTGTAAATTTTGCTTCCCTACTATATATATATATATATATATATATATATATATATATATATATATATATATATAGGGGAAGCAAAATTTACAAAGAAAGTTATTGTAAATTTTGTTTCCCCACCCTATATACATGATATCACACATTATGAAATGGACAAAATCCGACAATTAT